AAACAGGACATGGCAAAAGGCAGAGCATGGACATGCTAATCATCAAAATGATACATAAGAAGAAATAATTTGTAACCGATTAGGAATATACATAAATTATTGAATAATCAACCCACACAGTCAAAGGGCACTTGGAAAGGGAACAGGAGACCCGGGAAAGTGGGAGGAGTCGGGTAAATTAAAGAAATAAAACTAGGGGCAAAGGGGAAGATCGTTACCGTAGACGAGAAAACAACAAAGGGACAAAAACAAAAATGTCAACAAAAAAGTAAAAGGCTTCTATAAAATTTTAGGTTTGCATAAAGGTTTTAAACCCATGAATAGAATGAAACGGTCAAAGTGTACTCAATGTCACAAAAAAGATAATGTACGACTAATGGTGTGACAACAATGGACGTTCATAATCTGTTTGAGATTGAAACAATGGGAGCGATGTTGGACATTCAACAGGTTTACCACGGTGTCATTTTTCTTCACAGGGAGTCTGTATTTGTTTGAAAGGAAGTAATTTGCTTTAAAGAATACTGACATTGGCTTATTTTTTACTTAGTTAAAAAGGCAAAGCATTATTCCGTTCAATAGAAATAGATTCAAAACATCGTTTATGAAAATCGCTGTTAAAGGACTTATATGTGGTATATAACAATGTACTATATACGAGGGTGTTAAATATATTCGTATTGTCCTCATTTTTAAAATTTAGATGCAATTGTTATTTAAATTGTATCAATTTATAGCGTTGTTATTCTTTTTCAAAACAATGAAAAATCAAATTGATAATTACGCAACTGACAACCATTTTCATAACCATGGTAACGCGACCTAGTCCAAATTTTCGCAACGAACTTATTATTAAGCGTGTGAACATACTATTGTCTTAATAAGATAAACACTTAAAAATTCGGAAAGTAATTAATTATGTTATGACGACGTTACCTTAAACTATGACATCATTTGGAAGTTGAAGTTGCCGTCATGTAATTTGTATGAATTATGAATTATGTTTGCCTAACAAACAAAATATAAGCACAGTCTACGAATGTATTGAACGCCCCTAGTATTTTGAGCGTTACTTTTGTTTTACAAGAAAAGTTGGTTTACAGATAAAATATATGACATGTCGTATTTTCTAGTCTGCAAAAACAAGTAGAATGTTATTCATGTTGCAGCCTAACATTTCTTATATTTTCAGATGCCTAACTGGATATGGACAGTTTTGTTTTTAGTCACGGAATGCACTGGTAGGTAATTTTGCTGTAAATTGTTCTAGTGAAGTGGTAATTTAACCTTTTATCTGAGGATAACAAGCCTGGTGAAGTTTTAAATAAAGGATTATTTGTTTTTTTTATATTTGTTTTTCCTGAACAATATATTGCTTGCCGTGATCTGGAGATGTTTTCGAATTAAGTATTTTAGATGCCCTTAATATGGACACTTGTTTTAGTTTTGGAAAAGATGCATTTACAACTTGTTCGTAGTGTAACTCTATTAGATGGTAAAAATTGTTTATTATCACATGAATAATAAATGCCTTATACTTCCTAAAAACAAAAATAAATAGAAGGAATCCATGTCCAGGGTACGTTTTCCTTAACTTGCAACAGTTGATTACTGACAAGTTCCGTTGTTTTACTGATGGAACTACACTTTTTATTAATCTCATTGCGATAACAAATGCAACAGAAGATAATAATCGGAAATATGATATATTATTTTTACCAAATAAATGAACAAAAACTGTATTGACTCAATGTTAGAGTATTTATCTTGTTAAAACTTATTTCGTTTTAGTATCAGTGCAGTTGCTTTGCCCGGAAGGCTGTAAATGTAAAACAAACGGTTACTGCTACGACTGCAAAACAGGATATTCCATGCAGAATGGGCAGAATGGGACATGTCATCGCTGTACAAAAGGATGTCATGCTTGTTCATCAGCCAATACGTGTGAAGAATGTAATATTGGGTATTATAACATACAAATGACAGTAAGTTTTGTGTAACAATTGCACATTTGGTTGCAAAAATTTGTTCATCAGCTGAATATGTGCTTACAATGTAAAAATGGTATTTCAGACATGATGATTTCATGCTCAAATTGTGCGACGGGTGTAAGAATTGTATTTTCGCTGGATGAATGCTTAACATGTGATGAAGGACTTTAGTAAGTAATGGTACATTTTGTCGGAAATGTCCGGAAGGTTCATTTAGCTCCGGCCCTAGGTGTGCATCTTGTCTAGACACTTGTGCAACTTGTTCAATAATTAATGAATGCAGCACTTGTAAGCGAGGGTTTTTCGGCAAAACATGTCATAAAAAATGCTCCCCCGGATGCAAGGATGACGTTTGTGAAATAAACACGGGGAGATGTATCTGTAAGAAATTTTATATTGGAACTAGTTGTAATTTGTGTTTCCCAGGAAGATTTGGAAATGACTGTAATTCAAATTGTCCTGACGGATGCTTGACTTGTAATTTTAATGGCAGTTGCACTTTGTGGAATACTGGATATTTTGGAATGAAAGGCAACTGCTCTCGTGGTTGCCTTGATAACAAATGTGACAAATGGACGGGCCGATGCTTACAATGTAAGCCATTTTACAAATGGCCATGCACAACTTGTCAAGACGGAAAATACGGCAAGAACTGCGACTTTGATTGTCCGGATAATTGTATTTCATGCTCATCAGAAACTAACTGCACGAAATGCAAAGATGGATATCATGGTAATATTTGTAAACCAAAATGTCCAAATGGAAATTGTTCTAACATTTGCAGTCCTGGTTATTATGACCCTGGTTGTAAAATGAATTGTTTGAAAAACTGCAAACTTTGCACTTCAGAAGTGGAATGCCAGTCTTGTAACGATGGACTTTGGGGTCGAAAATGTGAATATAATTGTTCAGAAAATTGTTTGAATAAACTTTGTTATATGAATCAATCATGTTTTTCGTGTATTTCCGGATTTCATGGAAAATACTGTAACATTACATGTCCTCAAAACTGTTTAGATTTCATGTAATATGGTAGGTAATTGCAAAACTGTAAATTGGATATTATGCAAAACTTTGCTCTAAGAAATGTCCAAAGTATTGTAAAAGACAATTATTGCTTAATGAAATGGAAACTGTGCAAAATGTTCTAGTGGGTTTTATGGCCCTCAATGTATCAAAATGTGTTCCTCACAGTGTTTGGAATGTTTGAATGGAACCATCTGTGATTCATGCAAGGTTGGTTTCTTTGGTGATACATGTAGCGAGCGATGTGGTTACTGTAAGGATAACACATCTTGTAACGTAAGAACTGGTAACTGTGAACAGTGCAGAGACCAAATGTATGGAAGTAAGTGTGAGTTTCATAAATGCCTATCGAATTGCCTATATGATTCATGCAATGCAACGAGTGGTGTGTGCGACTTTGGATGCAAACCTGGTTATTGGGGTAACTTTTGTAATAATACATGTTCGAGTAAATGCTTGAATGGCACATGCAATAAGGAGAATGGAACTTGCAAGTACGGTGTTTTGATTTTTTCTGTTTTACATGTGTTTTTTGGTCCAAAAATTGTAATGGGTAAGTCAGGGCGTGTAATGGTTGTTCAAATATGCTTTTTATTTGCCATTAACAAGAACTTTTTTAAGAAAAATTTTGCGATTCTTAAAAAGATGAATAAAGATGCAAACAGGGATACGTAGGAAACAAATGCGACAGTCCGTTTAGCAGAAATTGCTGTAATTAACCATGTGAGAGAGTAACAGACTTATTTGATTCCTGTTAGACTTAGCATATTGTATCCAAAACGGTTAACAGGTTTTCAGACATTTTAGATGAAATTCTGATATCTGTACCTAGAAGAGAAATAATAATATGATTTGTAAGTAGTGTTTTCTTTGATACAATTACATACTAGAAAGAAGATTTGTGGTTAATATATATCATCTGTATGAGTTAATTTAAAGGTTTATCTTTTTTTTTGTTATTTTTACAGATCATGAAGACGGATTTTCAACTAGCTATTAAACCTATAATAAAGTTTTTTGATGATTGTTATGCTTCTTATTTCTGATAATAATGGGGCTGGCTTGATATGGATATTTGTTCGTAAAAGTATAAGTTACATAATTATTGTTATCCTGAAAAATATACATTACATATGCCTCTTAAAAAGTGATTGAATCCTAGTTAATGATGAGGGAGATACAAAACCGTTTTCTTGCGTTAAATTGTTTAATACATAAAGTGTTCTTGGTTGTTCGTTACATCTAATTGGGCATTTTGCTTCGTTTTGAACTATTTATGTATGTTTTCTACACATTTTGTATTTTTATATTATATCACAAATCTGAAAAAAATGAGTAGATAGATAAATAGGAAAATAGCTCATAAGTATTTAATGTTTATTTTGCAATTTAAATTGTTGTTTCAGATATATACATCAGAAAAATCGTATAACCAGGAGTTTAGGAGAGTCCGTAACTTATAGACAAGTGCGAATAGCAGAGGAAATGATTATTAGTGAACGTATAGTATTACTAAACAAATTAAATTGCAAAAATAAAAATAAATAATAAAAAATATCTCGGACAAGAACAAAATGCAACAGAAAGCAAATGGTTCAAAGTTCTTAATTTAACATCCCGATGTAAATAAGGCTTTTACATGCGCTAAAATAACCATTGTAGAATCTGTCATTTGTTTTGTACCATTCAAGAATCTTAACTATAATTCAAGAATCTTAACTATAATTCCTACAAAATGCTTACATCAATTCGTCGAGTGATATTGAACTCTTAATATAGAAAATACATAACGAATGTAATATTAGGTTATATGACCTAACAGGAAATTGGGTCGTATCAAAACTAATTATTATTGAAAAAATACTATAAGATAAATAATATGTTTGGATGGTAAATGTATAGTTAAAAAAGAGGAGGTAAATTGCATGAACGAAATGTTATATATTCAAGAGAGTAGAGGAGGTCGACGGACTTACTTATCACTAGCAACAAAATTGAGTGTAATTGCGATTTCTTCTTCATGAAAGAAACAATAGAAAATGTTCGTAAACATGACATGGTTACGTTAAATTTAATTTAATTTCATGTTTCACCGTTTGTTTTGTTGATTCAGACGAGACCAACCGAAGAGAACTAAGCAGCCCGCAAAGGCACGTGTATGCAAACTTAGTTGAAATTGGGGATGTAGCAATAAATGCCGGTGATTTACCTTCACGGGGAACTGGTAACGGTGCCGAATATGCATTTATTGAGGAAAAACAACTTATTGATTACACAGAAGATGATATGAATGAGGCTAATAATGAAACGGTATTAGATTTGGATAAGAAAATTATACTAAGAGCGTTGAAAGCATCTTGGAAAAATATAAAACCATTCTGAACCGACAATCATATTAATGTTAATCCACATTTTGCGTTTCCTGAGTATAATTAGGATATAACATAAGCAGGTCATTAAATATTGATCAGGTACAATATGGGGTTAAATTGCACTCCTCCTTATCTTGGACTCGCCTGACAGGTCGTGCAATAATGTTTCACCAGCTGTGAACTCATCCAAATATATTCCAACATTGTACAGTTCATTGTCAAATAGCCTATAAATATTGTTTGATATCAAATTCCTTCATACAAGCATATTTTAATACGATTATCTCCATTGTTATATAAAATTGAATAATTTGTTCCATTTAGTTCTGTTACAGCATGGGGTATTGAAATATTGTGTTGATTTTGGTATTTCTTTTTCTGTTATTCTTACATAATTCTTTGTTTAAATTTTGGTAATAAAACAAAAACAAATAACTCGTTAGTAAACATAGATGATTTTAAATGCGATATTGATTGCCAAGAATGTGTTGATACTTGTTAAAATATAATCTTGTGATTTATAAAATTTAGGCTAACGACTTTTTATACGCCAATGCAGAAGACTATTTGAGAAGAAGAGTCCCAGTTAATCAACTCAAAGAATTCATTAAGAGCAAAACAGATATTGAGTACATAGAAGAATTTATGGTAAAGTTGTAAAATAGCTTTATCTTATGTTTATTTCTCATATCTTTAGGCATATAGTGCTTTAGAATCATTATTTTTGTTTTGAATGTATTAAGGGGCATTTATGAACTAAATGCGTGTACCATTATTTGAGTTTAGCTAAGAAAGAAAATAAATTTATTTTTTAAAACTTTTTATTTTTTGAAATGCATGGAACACATTATAAACATTTTTTTTATTTTAAGAAAGTTAACGTAATACAAAATGCCAATACATATTTTTTTTTGTTCATATCCATAGTCAATTTTCATTGACATGCAAAAGAGTGTTAAGTTTCATTTTAATGGAAAATATTATTATTATCATTGCTGCACAGCAAAATAAATGAATGGATTTCAGTAGCACAAAGAGGAAGTTAAATGATGATTGTAAGATACCACACTTCCTTTCGCGTGTCCTTTGCTTTAAAACAGGAACAGAAAAAGCAGGAAATGTATTGTTTTAGACAATGCTGACTCTCTATTATTATTAACACATCTTTGACTAAGCTATATATTGAATAACATTTATTTCCCGCTATCTTTTAACGTCATTCTGAATACCAGTTGAGTCAGACATAGTTTCATACCGTTTGAAGTACAGAAATATTTATATATCAAAATAGTTACATTTGTACTTTCAGAGTTTACCGCATGGACTCATTAAACAGTTCCATGACTCACAGAAGGCAGAAAACGTATTGAAAAATCGATATAAAGATATTTACCCTTGTAAGTTAACATACAAATATATCAAATTAAGACAATCTGAAATTACAATATTGAGCCAGCTATGTGTTATAGAAGTTTTAATTCATAATAATTAATGTTGTTTGCCTTATTAGCGGATTTTTTTACATTATCAAAGTAGTTTACATTTTGTTTAAATGCATACAAATGATAAACTTAGTGGAGGTGTTGTAACCTTTCTTTCACGTCCTGTTTTTTGTCCTATTCTAAAAGAAACAAAGCATTAGAATAATTCATTTTGCTTTCATATTGGTTAAAATTCATTATATCATTGATCAAATTATGGTAAATGTGTAAATCTTCTTTAATCTCAATATATTTTCGATGAAATGTGTCTAAGTAACAAAGTCCTTTATTTTTAAGACTTATGCCGATATTTATTACATTGAACTTAAGTTCTTACTATATAGAACGACTTTACTTTCAGATGCTTGTATGAAAAAAAATATATATATATGAAAAACAATCCAATGTGTGGTTAATTTCATATAGTATTTTTGTCTTCCAAAAAATCTTTTCTAATTTTACGGATAATATCACTTATTTTGTAAAGACAAAACTTGTCCGTTGTCTTTGCTTCGTCAAATCTCTTTTATTTCTATGATTTGTATGTCAATTTTTTAAACAGTCTTCATTTAATATCGTCTGTAAATCAACGTAAATGGCCTCTCAGTTAAAACTTATCAGGACTTAGCACTTTATCCGCTAGTGACTGATTACTAATTCCACATGATATCTAAACTAGTATATGACCATTTGTAAACATGCCAGAAAACAGTTGTCACATAGAAATAGTACACGCAATCACATGATACTAATATTATGCTTTCCCTTTTGACGTGCGGGAAAAAGGCTTGCTCGCATAATATTTGCACAAGCTAAACCGCACTATGCAGTTTTCATGGAATCAGGCAGCAGAGACATGTGATTAAATACCGCTTTGTATGATCATTTGTTTCAGATGACAACAAAAGAGTTATTCTTAACGACAGAGAATCAGACTACATCAATGCCAGCTATATAGACGTAAGTCAGGCCGTTTAAAACATATTTTCGTTTAAACATTCCACTTTTTTTATATAAATATGCAACTCGATATAAAAATTAATTACATATGATGCGAATCCGTATAATTTGCTGTCTTATCTCAAAGCTCTAGGTCGTTAAACTAACGACTTAATGCGTTTTTGTTTTGAGAAGTTGTACTTATATTAATTTGGTAAAGGAATAATTTATTCATACTTCATACCTATACGGACTTTTTATGCCGTGAGGAATTCTATAATCACCAGTAAGAAAGTTTGATTTCTCGACATTATATATAAAATTATAGGGTTTAACCATCCGATCAATTACGTCAAGTATATTTATATGGAGTCAACTCCATTCTTTGTGTTATATGTATTATTGAAGCTGTATTTTAACTCTAGGGTTATAAAAGACAGAAGGTTTACATAGCATCTTTAGGTATGTATTTTACAATCCCTTTAAACCATTATTGAAAGTCCTATAAGAAAACTCTAGAGTAAAATTACGATAATTTGAAACCTTACTCTGCTCAATGTGTTATTAGTCTTGCCCTGCTTTAGATTTTGGAACATTTCACTCTAATTTATCTGGCTTTTAAAAAAGTAGAAAAATGTACTGCCAACAGTTTATAGCCTTGACATACTGTCCGATCCAGTTATACTTATTTTTGAGATTATCAACCTTGAAATAATCTAAGTAGTGTACATAAACCATAAACAGTTTTGTAACAAAAGTTGGAAATTCGAGTATATTCCAGTGTTGCATATTAACGTAGTATCTTATTAAAGTGGTCATTAATTACATAATGTAACAGCACATAATGTATCGAGAATGATTTCAATTCTGTAACATAAATAATTTACAGGACCAACAGTGAAGCAAATGGGAGCTGATTTTGGAGTATTCTGGAACATGGTTTGGCAAGAAAGTGTTTGTAAAATAGTCATGCTGACAAATCTGGAAGAACTGGGGGTAAGTTATAACACTTTTCCGAACCCTTAAGTTGTTGGTTTGATTTATTTGCACATTGTAAATGATTGTAATTTACACAACAGAACAAGGATTAATTTACATTATAATTTTAGATCATTTTAACAGAAAAGCGTGCATATTTTTTTCATTTATGTTTGCAGCATGTTATATTTATATAAATGTAGTAATTTGTATAAACATTTAATTACATGAATTTAAATTAACACTATGAGCATTCTTGCGCTGTAATGTTGAAGTGATTTAATTGACTTATTTCTATAAAACATAGGTTCAGAAATGTGACAAATACTGGCCGGATAAAGATAAATGCATCATGTATGAAGACGTGAAAGTAACATGCCAGTCTGAGGAGATATATCCTTGTTTCACAGTCAGGATTTTCTCTGTCGAGGTAAATTTATAAGATTCTCAGTCGGCTTAATTCAAAAACGAAACAATACAATTAAATACTTAAAATAGTAAAGAAAACATGGACAATGTAGGTCACTCGAGACAAAACAAACAAGATAAAAATATGAAAACTGTACATTCAGTTTTATTTAATCTGTTCATAAGACATCATGCAAAGTGCAAAATTTCTCACAGATGTTTTTCAAGTATGCTTTTTTAACAAATGCTGAAACATCTAACGCATTGTATACAGAATGGTCATATCACAGTAGTTGGTGAAATTGTCTTTATTTGAAAGCAAGGTACGAGTTACATTAGCAAAATATAAGAAAAAAAACCTGAAAGAAAATACAAATAGACAGGAGATTATTGAATGTAATTAGATGTTGGAAATGCATGGCTTAATTCCTTACAGAAAACTGAAAAGAGAATACTGTATCAGATGCATTTCACAGCCTGGCCAGACAAGAGTACACCGCGGGATGTCCATGGCATGATCGAGTTTTGGGAGAAATTGACAAGAATACCTAGATTTGAGCTTGGGCCTATACTTGTCCACTGCAGGTATCAGTTCCTATTCTGTGTCATATCAAAACTGGTATATAATAAATAAATAAAATATATTATCTTGCATTGAATATGGTTGGGAACACATTTTAACCTGTTTTACATTTTTACATTTGAACCACAATAATAAAGATATTGTAAAATATGTACTATACTTATTTGTGTTTTTAAGAAACTTTAGGACACTCCGAATACGTGTATACCGGTTAAGAAATGATTGTCACTCATGTACTATTTTTTGTAGTGCTGGTGTGGGACGAACAGGAACATTTCTTGCATTAGATATATTAGCCAATGAGGGAGTTGCTGAGGGTACCGTGGACATATTTGCATGTGTCAGAAACTTAAGAGAAGATCGAGTTAATTTAGTACAAACAGTGGTAGGTTGTCATTTCACTATCCAGAAACAAAAAGAAATAATATTTTAATTTAGACAACGCCAATGTACATGTGTTCGTACAATTTTTCATTAAAACACGAAAAGTTGTTAGTCCTCTACTAATTGCAAGCTAAACCACTAAACTCATTGATGTAATAACTTAATAACAACCTTTTTTGTATGGTTTGCTTCATCGTTTAATGCAATGTGTGAGTCTACTTTTGCATTAAAATTTACGAAACGAAAACTTTCGTTTAGATGTAAACATTCAACATTTCTGTCTTTTTTATGGATTTTTTTTTATTTAAAATTGAAACTACAGTGTATAGCTCAGTAGTAAGAAATCCAAGACAAAAAAAACATTATAGCCTAAATAGTATATAACATCTGATATACATTATGAGTATTTTAATTATTTTTTCTTCATGGTTTATAAATAAGATTGCTGGCAGAGATATCTGTTAGTTTATATTGTAACAATCTGTTTGGTAATGTAAACGTTATAACCATTTTAGGAGTATTCAAGAGCATACAAGACAAAAATACATTATCGTACTAGTATTTTACATCTGGTTTGCATTACGAATATCATTTTTTATGATTTTACAATAAAGTCTCCTGCCTAAAATGTATGTGTGTTAATCTCTTTTATAATGTAAACGTTTAAAACATTTAAGGAGCAATACAAATTCCTTCACGAGGCTTTGGTGCATCTTCTATCTTCTGACACATCAGTAAAGACGCTTCTTGCAAGTGATGGGGCAGTTCAGCACAATACTCAAGAGTGTACATTGGCTGTTGAAGATATACATGAAATGGTTAAGGGGTGTAAATAACATCCAAATAGTTATGTTTAACTATTGACACTAATTCGCTGTGAGATAATAGTCTGTATATAAGAAGCAAAATATTACATTATTTTGAGAATGGACAATCAAATAGCATATATAGAATATCAGTTATTAACTTCGTCTACTTTAAACTTGTTTCTTTATTTCTATCATTTTGATCAATATATTTGTTATTGTTATTTGTTATTGCAGGATATTCTTTAGAGATGTTGAGTAAATTTAGCGGGTAAGATAAATATGATATTATGATCGGATTCATGAATATTGTAAAGTAGAAATGAATTTTTGATTTTGTTTGTCGTGAATTTCATTATGTAATCTATATTCTAACCATATCAAATTTGAAATTATAATTTGCTTTTCGTATCAAAATTAATAAGTTCCTACAAGGTGTGAATAAATCTAAGAATCTATTATGCTCAAATGCTTTAAGACCAAATAAATGTGACCAGTAATAGAGAATGCAGCTTTCAAAACATAATTCCTGCATTCTCCTTTTCAAAATAGACATATTAGGCAAGAATTTCCTAGATAACAATACAATTACCCTTTAAAAGAATTTTAATCTTTAAAAAAGATTGAATGATTTTATCTGCCGGACATGTCAACATTTGCTTCTTGTAAATTGCTTCACAATTGTAAATAGAATGCTTGTGTTCTTTAGTCTAGTAAAAACAAGTTATTTTTACATAGAATACTATCTTTTACGACATTTGCAGATACTTGAATTACTTTCATTACGTCACAACATGATTATTTGTTATTATCTTATTTTATCTTTAAGTTTCTTATGATCATACTTGTTTTGTCTTTTTATTTCAAACCATATTAGATGACTCAGTACATGCTTTGTTTGTTTGTTTGTTTGATTTGGGTTTTACATCTCACCGACACATTATTGGTCATTTGACGACGTTCCATCTTTACTGTGGAGGAAGACCTCAGGTGCCCATCCGTGCATTTTTTCAGGCATGAGCGGGCAAAGTAGTAGAACCGCCGACGTTCCGTAAGCTAGCTGGATAGCTTCCTCACATGAAAAGATCCAAAGTCCCTGTCGGGATTCGAACCTACAGCGTTGAGGGGCAAGTGGTTTGATGTAAACGACCTAAACTACATGCTTTGTAAATTTGCAAAAATAATAACTCTATCGCTTTGAAATAAACTAACCAATAACCAAGTTTGCTGATTTTACTCTTATAATCCACATTAGCCATTCTAAATCAGTTATTTTGTTTTTATTCGGTTGAGTCTCGTATGATTTTGAATAAAACGCATGATTTACTGCGGAATGACACGTTTTATTTCGCGAGTCGTCAGAAAAAAAAACACAAGTACATTAAAACATTCACATATGTACACTGCAAAACCAATTTCTTGTGTTGTGTCAAAGCATTTTTATTTACATATTTTTCAAATGAAAAAAAAGTGTTTTCTGAATAACATATACAACTAATGGCCTGTGCAACTGTTTCTAGATAACCGAGGTTTAATATCGCGGAACCAGGCTAAAATTAAATCATGCGTAAACACGTTGTCTCCACCTAAAGATGATTTGTTTTACATTTTGACAAAAAACATCGGTGTCAGAGCTGTTGCATTGCTTGTAATAAAACATCTGAATATTTAATCTATCCATTTGTTCACTTTTAGAAACTAGGAAGCACGTTTGTTTTGGCGTAATTTAAATGTATATATCTTTTAAAATTTTGTCCTTTTGCTTTTGAGATGATTTGGATAGTGCTAAACGAGGTCTTCTGTATGACTATTTTGGTAAGATATTGTAATTTGTCTGATGCCTTTAATGTGTTACGAACTATGTTTATTCTTGAATTTGATATTTTGTTATCATTTGTTTATTAAAACGTTATCTTTCGTTTCATCGGGCTTCCAAGGCATTAGGATAAACGATTACGAATGTGTCAGCACTGAAACACATGGTTTCGGATTCCTGGCACAATACGACATTTACTTAAGCGTACCCGTCCTGTCAGAGTATTCCAGTACGGGGGTAATGGAATTTTCGTGTCGTAACTCTTTCCTATAAATTTCAAAAACTGCTCATATTATATCTGGGTAGTATTTTATTCGCTTTTTCTTAAGGTATGCAGCACACAACTTACCATTTCTTTGCAGCCAAGTTTATGCGTATGTTAAACCTCGCTTGTTTACTCTTGTTAGTATTGGTAAAAATTGTAAGGCCTGTTACAAATGTAAATCAAGTTAAAAACATAAACGTATGTAATTGAGTACAAATGAAAATAAAAGCCGAACATTTTTTACTTTATGTGTTTTAATCATTGGTTCTGATTATAGTTTAAATTAAATAACATATATCAAATACTCCGTTAACAATTTCCATACTTTTAAAAATATAATTTGTATCTTAAACTATGTATGCACTCAAAATGATGTAAGCATTAATGATTTCTAGGTAGATAATAATATTGCAAATTGTGATACATTTTCCTTATGTCTGGTATAACCAATTTTATTTCCAAGACAATAAATTAACAAATATTGTTAAATTTCAATTATAAACAGAATTATATTTTATACACATTTTATTTGGTAATGACAAAGATTTTAATAAGCAAAATGTTTCTACCAGTATAATCCCTTTGTTTTTATAAATTTCATAGGACATGTACACTTTGTTTTTATATCACATACCCGTGCCGATTTTGCGTCTCCGTAAAAAAGGTATTGCACGGCTGTTAATATATTTTGACGTGACATCATTTGCTTTATACAAACTTAATGTAAATACCCGCAAATATAAGCGTAACGAAAGATATTTTTTTTGTACTTTAAACATTATTTTTGGTATGTGATAATAGGATATCATATCGGTGTAGTCATTACTGATTTTATTGAAGTCGTTGAATAAAATAATATTGTGCTTACCAAATGCTCGTATAATATGATTTCATTCAATTAAGTATTGAGCCTTCACTATTCAACCCGTTCAAAAATTCAATACTGAAACTACACTAATTAAATAACCTCTATATATCTGTCGAAAATAATTGCTTTAATATGATAAATTGATTATGTGACCTTAACACACTTATAACATTAAAAACAAACAAGTTCTGAAATAAAAATAGATCCATTCTATGTCAATTATCGTGGCAATAAGAAAAACACAATGATAAAGTGATGACTTTCATTAAAAGGAACAAAAGTGCATTTTCCACTCTGGTGCTTTCAACATAATTATACACCTGTGTAAATGACAAGGACTAAAGGTGATTTGTAACTAAATGTGAAAAGAAAATACCGAAACGTCTTTGTTCCTTACATAACAAAGGAGTCAAAATAACATGAAAATCATTAGATAATAAACCTTATGTTGTCGATATGACAATTCCGATTAAATATGCATTTAAAGAATTTTCCTACAACCGCAAATTAAAAAGGAAATAGAACGATGACTTTTAACACAAAATGTAAATTATCCAACATATTCAAATTAAGTGAAGAAAAAATTAAAGGAATATGGCATATCTAATACTACAATTAAAAAAATGTGAATAAATAATTATGATCAAGAAAGCTGTCCAGTAAATTAAATATTGTCCAAGTTAAGAATTATTCTTGAATATATTACAAAGATAATCGTCCGTCCAAATGCACATATTTATGAAGTTGACATGGCAAACATAGTATTTTTAAGGTTATAATGATGAAAAAAAGATTCAAAAACCAACACAGTTTATCAAAACATGTTCCGCCTTAATTTGCTTCATCAGCTGATATGAGTAATAACAAATGAGAGTTTTATTTAACTATCACACCTGCAGCTGGATAAAATGAATTTGCCTTTGCATTTTTTAAAAAGTATTTCCTTTTTATCATTTTTATATAATTTTATACTATCAAAAGACGTTCATTTTAATATTTCTTATTGACAGAGATTGCATGTTTAGCTTTAAAAAGAACGAAGAAGTTGTATACATTATAAACAATAGGATTGTCTTCAATTTAACGACCGTTCACTATAAATAGAGAAATGTAAGTTCATTTAAAAATATAAATCAGAAACACACAATCTTAGAAATATCACTGTAACATAATAAAGAACAAATATTATTCCATTATGAATGTGGTTTCCTTCAGAAAAAAAATAAGTTTGTTGGTTTATCTATTTCAATAGAAATACAGAGAAAAACAATAATTGAAATTTATTATATATTAACGAATAAAATATTTAGAAATATTGACGAAATATTTATGTTCATTTTCCGTATTTTCAGTGTAAAAATAACATCTTTTCAATGCAGGTAAACATATTTTCCGTTTTTTTTGCTGATGCCCTGCTGGACTACTTTCTTCTAAATTCAACCAATATACGAAATTTACAGCCACTTACGAATTTTATTTTTCATATCACTCCATTAAAATAAATCCTGTATTTATTGAAAAAAAAAAACTTGACTATCCTCAATATCATCTACATATTCATCAACTGATACTAAAATAAATCAATCGATGTAACAGGTCCCAGCAGGTTCAGAATTCTCTTGGTGTTATGTAGTCCGGATTCGGACAGGGAGATGGTCTCATTCTAGCTCGAGGAATGTTAAATTGTCCATCACCCTACAATAAAAACAACAGTTGAATTTCAAAACATTTTCTAATAATCAAATTCGTTGAATTTATATCCCAGCCAAGTACTGGTAATTTCTAACACAACAAATGCTTTATATATATATATATTTATCATGGCTTAAACAGAAATATTCTTTGTACATTATAAATATTCAAGGCAATAACAGAGCATTAATTAACTCGGTGTTAAATAGTTATATCTGGACATGGCAATAAGATGTAAATTGCCTTTTTGTTTCTATGTTTCCCATAAAGTTTTGTTTTCAATACAGCAGTTGCAAAGAAATAGCAATATTGCTCTTTATGCATACTGCATAACTTATCAAGGCCCATAACTCTGAGTTAAAGTGTCTGACCGATACATGTCCTTTAAAGAAATAATCGCGTTTTTAGATGTCTTTTTTGTGGTCAACATCCATGGATGCTGCCTTTATTATCCACTGCCGATAGAACCGGGAGGAAGATATTGTTTTGGCGTTGTCCGTCCTGCCGTACGTCCGTCCGTCTGACGATATGCACATCTCCTGTTGCTATTGAAGTTCCCAATAAAGTTTCGTTGAATTCCAGCCAATAGTTGCACAGAAGTAGCACGGAAACAATTATTGTGCTCTATATGCATTCCGCATAACTATTCAAGGACAATAACTCTGGGTTTAAGTGTTTGACCGGAACAGGGCAAGGAAATGCGCATCTCCTCTAGCCATTGAAGGTTCCCATAAAGCTTCGTTGAATTCCAGCCAGTAGTTGCAGAGAAATAGCGCGGAAACGATTATTGTTATTTATGCATACTGCAACTAAGTTAAAGTCTGACTGGAACAAGCCGATGATATGCTCAACTCCTCTTGATATTGATGATTCCCATAATTTAAAAGTTTGAATGAATTCCAGCCAATAGTTGCAGAGAACTAGCGCAGAAACGAAATTAGGACGGACGGATGGATGGACGGACGAACGTTCCAACATTTTGTGTTTAGGGGCTATTTTCTTTGTTATTTTCTTTGTTTTCCCAAGGGCTACTAGCCCATAAACCCTTTGATCACGGAATGAACCTATTGTTCTCTTTTGTTCTCTTTACTGTTATATAGCCCCTAAACCCAAAATGTTTGCTCGGACTTACGGACGGCAGGACGGACGGACAACGCCAAAACAATATCTTCCTCCCGATTCCATCGGCAGGGGATAATAAAGACAGCATCCATGGATGTTGACCACAACAAAGACATCTAAAAACGCGATTATTTCTTTAAAGGACATTATAAAACTATTAACTTATCTTTTCAAGAGACATTAAAGAGCATGAATTGTAACGTTTGTAATTTTAAAAAATGAATGTAAATTATGAAACATTTGAATTTTCAAACCATATTATAATAAAGACAGCATCCGTGGATTTTAGCTACTTTAAAGGCTTCATAAACGCTGTTATTTCTATATCTTTTTAAGGGACATTGCATAACTGAAAATTTAAAATGTATAATTTAAAAGAAAAATGTAAAAAGTATGAAACGCATATTGGTCGACTTAGTGCAATAACAAAATAAGTCCTTGCAAATGTAAT